GACCTGCCGACTCGAGCAAAATGGTTTGCCTTGCCACAGCTGTTGCAGATCTGTCCCCTTGCCGGGCTGAGTTCTGAGCGATGTGGGTATGGACCGCCGCAATGTCCACACGTGCGGTCATTTTGTTGTCGGGATGACAGGTCTTTTCCTTTGACATCTTTTCCTTTGGAGCGTGAAGATCGGTGTGTCTGCACCTGCAGGGTGACATTTGTAGTCCAGCCAGGGCTCTTTCCATACTTTTGGCTTGTTGGTCTGCCATCTCCGTGGTGCGCGCAAGTTCGAGTAGCTGTGCCAGCGTCATGTCCGGCTTGTGGGGCGACTTGCGTCTTAGGGTTGCCGACGAGCAAGTTTGAATGATGTGGGACTTAAGTTCGGCGTCCAGGTCGGTGAATCCGCACAGCATGGCGATGTGCCGTATCCTCGTGTGGTACGTGTTAATACTCTCGTCGCCGAGCTGACGCTCCTGCCGGGACAGGCAGCGTTGGTATTCGTAGTTGGCTTTTGGATCGAAGTGTTTCGTCAGCTGATCGACCGCGAGCTTGTAGGCGTTGGGAGCGGTACCACTGGTAGAGTCGGCCGTCGCCGTCGCTGGTAACGTTTCGTAGATGTCGCACACCTCGTCGCCTGCGTAGTGCAGCAGCATCGCTTTCGAACGTGTCGGGTTTTATGTTGCACGCCAAAAGAAAGCTGTCGAATCGCGTTACCCACTTCCGCCAGCGGGGTCCCACGGAAGATGCATCTTCGCGCACAACGAAGCTCGAGAATGGTGGTAGGATGGACATGTCGAGGCAGGTGTTGGTTCCACGTGGTGCGGTGGTGGCGATCTTCAGTGGTTGGGTGCGGACGGTTGACGGACGAGAAAACCATCGATGTAGTGCAGCGTGTGTGCACGGGTTGTCGACGTTTATCCTCGTCGCCAATGTAGTGGTTTAACACCGTCCGCGTTTAATACTGAGATTACATAGGATTGTTGGAGGTTACATTGCGATGCTCCGCTTACACCGCGGGAGGTCTGTCCCAGCACGCCTCTCGGTAGTCGATGTTCCTTCGGCTGCTTGGAGTTGAGGAGTTCAAACACAAACTGAAACTAGACACTACAGGCGCGTGCGTATCTCTTTTCTGTGGCTAACGCTCGTTTTGTTGGTGCTTCACCCGCGAGAAACTTTTCTGCCTTTTCTGCTTATCGCACCTCTGTAGTGCTCAGTATCTATGAGCTCCAGCTTGCTTTTTATTTTATTAATGTCATCTATAAATAACCCTGGGGATTTACACTCTTCTAGAACAAGCTCCTTTAAAGTTGAGCGCAGCTGCTTTTCCTCTTTTTTTTTTTTTTTCTCGTACTTTAGAGTGGTTGATCTTTCAATGGCGTCCATTTTAACTGCTCGTTGAAATTCTTCCCATCCTCCGGTCATCTCGCTCCCGCAGATGTTCCTAAAATTTTCAATCCTTGCATTTGTCTTGTCGTTAAACACCTAGTCATCAAGGAGCTTTTAGTTCATTTCCAGTTGTGCCAATCAAATCGGTGTCGGTCTTTTCTTTTTGATCCTATCGAAAGTCACGAACGAGGCAGTGGCCACTAAAGCACACCTGCTCGAGACTATAGTGTTCACACAGCGGAACTAGTTCAACTGACACGTATGCTCTGTCTAGCCGTGCGTGGCTACTTCCTTGGAAATGTGTGAACTGCACGCCCTTCGTGCCCTTTCCGCAATGTGCCACGTCCTCCAAGTAATGCTCATTTACCAGTTCATTCCAGACATCGCCGCTGCTATCCCTCCGGCGACCATGAGGGGTCTTGTCTTCTGGAGCACATGTACTGTTAAAATCCCCCACCACCACAAGCAGTCGTTCGCACTTTAAATATTCCGCTATACTTTCGAAAAATTGGCATCGCTACGTCTCTACGGTCGGTGCGTAGATAAAGATTATACGAAACTTTTGATCTGAAAAGCTAATATCACAACACACGACTCTCCCATCTTCACGCGAAGCAACATTCTCAACAATAATACCTAAAGAATTTTTCAAAAAGATGCATACACCTCCCGACCTCCCTACCGCACGGCTTACGCATACATCGTATCGCGACTCAAATTAGCGCACCATCTGCTCGGTCTGCTCCTCGCTCTCAATCTTGGTTTTCTGGACCGCTATCACGTCGAGGTCGTTTTCCAAGAACAACCTTCTGAGCTGGCACTGCCTTCGTCTTGCAGACAGTCCTCTTACGTTCAGGGTAGCTATACGCAGTGCGACCTCGAGCTGTTCCGTAGCCTCAAAAAATTAGGAGCTTATGACCTTGCGCCAACTATCAGACACTTGCCAATCAGGGAGGTAGCGGGGAACCAGCTTACTGTGACAGCCGGTCTTCACGAGCCCTCGAAGGCGAGCGGCTGCGTGTCGTATAGCGTCCTTTTTTCCCGGCGAGCTTCCACTGATATTCCAGGCGTCGCAGTGCCTGCTCGCTGGCGGCAGCACTGCTTGCACCCAAGTCCTCTAGTCGCCGGTTCGAAGTGATCGCGTCCAGGGACATTTCCTCGCTGGGGCTGTTCTCCGGCGCCACTTCCTTTTCCTTGCACGTAGCCGTTTTCTCCGCTGCTTCATCTACTGTAGCTGCATCCGAACCGGCTGAGTGTTCGAAATCCCCCGTGGTGTCCTGGAGCTTCGTGGTCCGCGTCTCGGCTGGCGCTGTGACCACAAAAGGCTCCTTTTCTCCGTCAGGTTCCTTTTCGCTTGGCCACCGATCCCCCTTCAGCTTGCCGAAGTTGGCGCACATTCACAGTTTATAGGTTCGCGTCGCTGCTCACATATGCTCCCCTTTGGAGGAAAGCCGTCCTGGCCATTAGAACGAGAGTCGTAGGGTTTGAGTCGGGACACGTGGACGATGTCGGACTACAAAGCGCGACCGTCTGTGGGAGCGATGAGGGCTTTGTGTAGTTGACAAGAGACGTTTGTCGCACAATACGGTAGGGTCCACGGTAACGCGGGAAAAAGTTTGCGCATCTGCCAACTTGATGGCTTGGAAATGCAACGAGAACATAGTCTCCTGGAAAGTACTGGACGTCGCGGTGATGTGCGTCATAACGTTGTTTGGCGTGTCCTTGTTAGTGTGCGGAGTCGTGCCTGTTGACGGCAGGCTTCGGTGCGTAAGTTGATGTCGCTAATCAAGGCATCCGAGTTTTCACGGCGTTCTGGAGGGAGGATAGTGTCCAGAGTACAGGAGGCGTCGTGAACGTGACGAAGGTGGAACGGCGAAAATCCTGTGGTACTTTGAATAGCGCTATTTTAAGCAAAGGTGACAAACGGCAATATAGTATCCGAATTGCTGTGGTTTTCAGACACGTACATGGCTATCATGTCAGCTAGCGTGTGATGAAACCGTTTTGTGAGCCCGTTTGTTTCAGGATGATAAGATGTTGTGGGATGATGGGTGACATTGCAGGCTGTGAGTAGGGCTTGTAGTGTCGTGGACAAGAACGAACGCTCCCGATCGCTTATCAGTGTTCGAGGCGCTCCGTGCCGTAAGACTACCTGTTGCAGTAAGAAATTTGGAATTTCTTCCGCTGATGCGTCGGGAAGTGCTTTGGTCTCGACATAGCGAGTCAGATGGTCGATGGCCACTATTATCCAGCGATTCGAAGCTGTGGAGAGTGGGAGAGGCCCCAAGAGGTCGATTCCCACAACCTCGAATGGCATATGAGGTGGAGCCAGTAGTTGTAGCAGTCCAGCGGGCGATGAAATCGACTGTTCGCGGAGTTGACACTGCTGGCAGATTGGCCCAGGAGTTGAAGAAAAGGACCCTGTCTGACCTTCAGTGGGTGGCTGAAAAGTGGAAGCCGCATGCTGTCCCAAAGGTTCTGTTAGCGGTGTGGCGTTGGCTGCCGTGACGGTCATCCGAACGCCGCTGCCTAGCTCCATCCACAACCCCGCACCTCCACCAAGTTTATTGAGATCTCGCAAGCCTGCTCCGAAAAGGTCCCAGGAGAACCGACCGCTCGGCAGAATGTCCGATCCAACCCCTAAGCTCATCCGGGTCTCGCGCCCCGCCGTCACGATTATATATATAACTCTACTATTGAAAGAATCAGACGTTGCAGCCCAGTGAATCAGTGATACATTAAGATCACCTTATGCCAAACGAGAGGAGTTCCGGATTTTCCAAGTTTATTTTTAACAAAACATCGGAGTTTTTTTTGTGTTTTAGAGCAGCTTGTTGCAAACTCTATAAATTCCCCAAAAATTAGCATTGATTGAAATTAAATATTAAGAATAAAGAAAAAAAATTAATATCCACTCAGATAAACACGCCGAAAAGCAGTTTATTTGAAAGCCACATTGTAACCAATATTTGCGTGATATCTGTTGGCTATGGTTTCTACTGTTATAAAACCTTCATTTCTTAGTAAAGCTGCCCTGGTGGTTCTAAAGCGAAGTGTCAGCGTACGAATCACAAAGTGTGTAGCGAGCCTCCGAACATGCACCTAAATGGTGAAGCCTTTTTGAAGCTCTCTTACGGGTGCGAGGTTTTTCAACTTACCACCAAAATACATAGTGTGTCTGAAGCCACTGAAGTGTGACTAACAGTGTAATATCTCATATGCAACAGAAAAAAAAAAGGCCAGCCTACAGATTCTTTGGTGGCGGGTTCGAATCCCACCCAAAGTGCCTGCAATTTGACAGATATTACAGATAAGCTTCCATCGGTTAATAAATCGGAGTTAGAAGGAACAGTCGCCTCTCATCAGTACAACTGACCCAGCACTCCCCTCTAAAAGCTAATGTGAAGTGTCCCATTCTTATAAAACCTTTTACCAGCTGTGTAGGATTCTTTCCGTTTTACATAAAAACAAAAAAAAAACAAACAAAAAAAAAAAAACAGGACATTTCATACGATAGGATGCTCCTGGACTGCCTTTTAAAAATGGTGATGTGATCGTAATATTAGGAGTGGAGCTTTCAAAAATAAGAACAAAAGAAAAAACGCATTTATCCGCTGATATTAGTCACGGACTGATTTGCAGGGAATACACTGAGAGGAGTGGACGGCGGCCGGTCCATCGTAGGACGCGATGCAACGTCGAATGGAGGTTGTGCAGACGTTGCACGTCGACACCATCTGTGACCCGTAACTGACCGTACTTCTTGACGACGCACCTGAAGCGTTTGTGCGGCTGACGGACGATACAATCATCTCTGTGGCAGAACACATATTGCTGTGATGAGCATGGGTGCATTGTCACATCGACTATCCTGGTACGGTGCTTCACATTTTGACCACTTTGACTATTTTGACCAGTTTGATATATACATTTTCTGTCATAGAGGTCTTGACTTTTAGGACAGCGCGGCATATGGCGCGGCATATGTTGTTGACCCCGGGAGTTACTTTTATTTTGTCATCTATTTTGTTGGGTTTGTAACGTCTTACTGACAAGGTGTTATAGCGTGTTTGCGGAGTAAACACTAACTAGGCTGTGATGATTGCCACTTGTTTCTTTCCCTCGATATACAAGGGGGTTGTATATACCTATTAAAAGTTTAATGTAACTCTGTTTTATTTTCGACATTAAGAAACCAATGCAGTTAGTTCTCTTCAGTATCACCGAGAAAGACCTCACGCCAAATATTTCGGTCCAATTCCTCCTGTCAAACCAGCTTAATATTATATCGGTTACCGGTTAATTTTTCACGGTTAAGGTTCCAGATCCGGTTCACGTGCGCTCCTAAACGGTTTTTGGTTTGGGTTAAGGTAACGGTTTGAGTTCCTGGCGAAAACACGTTGAGTTTAGTGCTCCATGAGTGCATCAATACTTGCTATGGCGTGGCGCTGCAGGCAGGCATTCTTAGACGTTGATACTTCTCGGTTCTTCTGTTTCATCTTCCTACGTGTAACCAAACCCTCCTACGTGTAACTCTCACGCAGATGCGTACCGTGGAGTTGGAACCACCATCAGACGGGCCGCGTGTGTCGGTCGCAGCGATGAGGGTGTCTGGGAGTGTGCGGCAGGCACTCGCTGACACCTCGCGAGATCTGGTTCGGACGAGTAACGCTAGAAGGGACCCCCAATATATATATATATATATATATATATATATATATATATATATATATTTTTCAAAGCTCGCGTTATCTCTCCCCACATCGGTACTAGCCGCAGCTGCATGCCCAGTCCGCGGGCTGTTGAAAGCACGGCTCAAGTTGTCCATATGAAGTAGTGACTTAAGCCTGGATGTTTGCTTTATCTCCTGCCGCTTGGCATCAAACGAGAAAGGGAATAATAATAAAATAAAAATCTGGAAGCCTGGAAGATTTTTTTTTTCTCCCTTCCTCGCGGACACCGGAGCTTTATTTGTGGCCGACGGGCAGGTCCGATAAGCGCGGTTGGCATTTGCGGAAAGGAAACGCCGCGACCCCCTCGGGTTCCCCCGCCATCGCGGCTGTTTCGCCGAGAGCGGCAGCACCGCCGCCGGTATGCAGCGCACCTGCAAACAATTATTGGCGATTTATCTATAATGCTCGCCCCTTGACAGGCGCTTATGTGAACTTAATGTTTTTATGGCCTTGAACCCGACTCTGTTTGTGTCTAATATTCGAGTCCGTGCGTTCGGGCTTCGTGGTAGGGTAGCGATGTTGCTGCCGGTTCGACTCCTAATGATGAAATCAGGACCGAAGTGAAACTGCTCGTTTGAAATTGGAATCTTCGTTATTCGCACCTTTTGTTTTCTTTCGCTCGTTGATCGTCGTCGTGTTGGAGGTCCGGGTGCGCGCGGCGCGCTTTTTATGAAACGGCCGAGCACGAAGCCGGGACTTGGTTCTCATGTGGGATCAGTGGCTTCGAGTGTTTTTGCTATATAGATATACCGGGTTTCTGGGAGAAAAGAGAAGCGTGTTTTGCTCGCCGCAAAAATTCACCACGCGTCGTCGAACCCTCAGTCTCTGCCGAAATGTAGCACTAGCGCTCCGAATTAGGTGCTGAAGTTTCAGAGGGTACCGTCGTCTGATTCAAAAGTTATAAGCGATTTTCGGAATTTTTTCAATTAGGAAATTGGGCTTGTTCCCGGTGGCAGACTCCATTCATCTTTATATGTTTCACAGGTTTCGTTGATCGCCATTTCCTAATTGAACATTTCCGAAAATCGCTTAGTGGCAGATTCCAGTCAGAGATAAATTAATAGAAAACAAAACAACAAATCTGGACACGAATAGAAAATGAAGAAATGAAACAATAACGTCAACACACTTTCAAGATCTATATACACGCTCATTTCAATATATATCAAGATTAGTATTCACATAAATCCGTTCAGAATTACCATACGTCAATCGTAAGCGCGACTAGGACTCTGCGTTATACAACTTAGAAGGATAATAAACCTATGCGGGCAGAAAGTGTGGGAGAGGAGGAAACGAGAGTACGCGGGGACGCCAGAAGGCCGAGCTCTGACTGGAATGATTGGTGGGCAGAGGCAAAGCCTTTGTCTCCACTGCACTCGTCAAACGCTTTAAAACACGGAACTCAAACGTGGGAGGGTTCGCGTTCAAACGCGTTCGACGAGTGTAGAACAACAAACGGATCGTTCTCAGTTTGTTGTTGTTGTTATTCAAAACTTTTAATTAGACATCGAAGGAGAAAAAAAAAAATAAGGAAGGAAAGGGGCAGTCGGAGGGATAGAGTGTGGATGTATGCCCTCGTGACAGGGCTCCTCCGATTGCGGCTTGGGCATGCAGCGCGCGAGTTTTAGTGCGACGTGTCTAACGTTACGAGCCTGCGTTTAACTATAGCGTGAGTCAGAGATCGTTGGCTGTTTGAAGGAACTGCATAAGTCGGTTTCTGAACGCATACAGAGGTGACGCAAAAATAGACATTAAGTGTAAGAAAAAAATAAAAAAAAATAACTGAACAAGCTTATTTGATTACAAAGTTAAAAATCAAAACCTTGAAATGCCTACCTGACATCCGCCTGCTAGCGAAAGGCGACGCAAGAAGCGTTACCTAGTAGTACGTACGCTCGCTATCAATTTTTTGCATGCGTCCGCAGAGACTCTCTGCGTCCCTTCTCGCTGCTCTCGTCGCGCGCGGGACAGTGCGAAACTTCCTCAGATTGAAAAATGCGGACCGTACCTTGAACTGCTAATCGTATAGTTATATAAAAAAAAAAAAAAAAAGACGAACCACTTTTACAGTTGACACCCATAAACAGATTAATGACATTTGGGTCGCGATGGGATTCGTGACATCCGATTGTCTTGACCTAATACCGACCTTTAAATTGCTCGAATAAGTTTGCATGCGCACATCTAGATGACACTGGAACTGCTTGTGTATGCGCTTGCATTCCGCTGCACTAGAAGTGCTGTTTTGACACTCTCCGCAACGTTCCACTGAGAGGTTGCGTGCGTCGTGCGCCGTGCTAACGCATGGATCTTTAAGCTATTCTAAAACTCTCTAATAACCCGCGTTGGAAACGCGACTTTTATGCGCAAACGCAATACAAATAAAAATGACGGTCACATTAGTTATTTTATTCCTGCGATGAGTGAGACGCCTGAAGGGGTGTCCAAACAGGACACTACAAAACGCACGACTCCGACAAATCGTGAAAATTGAAGCGGACGCTTCTACAGGAGCGTCCGCTTCAATTTTCACGATTTGTCGGAGTTGTGCGTTTTGTAGTGTCCTATTTGGACACCCCTTGATGAGTCGTTCTGAGGGTCGATAACGAATTGCCATAAATCATCCCTCTGCGGCACAACTGGTAGTCGCTACATTAGTATCAGCAAGGTCAGGCGGTTTATTCGTGCAGGACGAAGTTATCTAGTTGACCTTTTTTTTTTGGAGAGCTATACTCACTGACGTCATTTCGCACGTCAGAATTTTCTTGCGGCTCTCGTGGTTTTAAGAGAAAGCAAAATGCATTTCGAAGCGAGGAAGGACAGGGCCAGCAGCAACTCTCAACTACCGATGATATGAAATAAATGGTTTGTTCTAGAGCTACTGAATGTTCCCAAAGCACTGAGTTACATAGCTTCTATAGGGGCCGTAAATGAAGCCACCGGGTTATTTGCCTCCATCAGGGTTAGGCAGAAATACTCAAAAATGTATTCAGAAATACAAATACTGGGATACATTAAAATAGTAGCTGAAATACTGATACTAAAATATATCTGTAAAAATGTATCGCGATACGTATGGGAAATACATCTTAGATAGATGCAAAAAGTCTTTGGAAATACAAGTACAGGAATACATTTTAGGAAGGGCAGAAATACGAATACAGAAATACTGATACTGCAATACATTTTTTTTTTCAAATTTTTTGAAACGCCAACTGAGATTAGGCTTGAAGTTTGAAGTGAAAGCTTTTGATCCTGAAATTACTTTCCCGTAGGCTTGGCACAAGAGGAGTCTTCAATAGGCTCAAAAAACGTTCCATCAAGGATTGACCGCGGTCCCTTCCCGGACATCCTGTCTGTCTGACGAGTGATGCTTAAAGACTTCAACCTCTAAATAAAACATATGTCACCCTAAATTCCATCAAAACGTCACCACGCCCCTGTCCAATAGGGACGCCCCTGTCAACATTGATCACATGACGTCACGCTGGAATGAACTAGTATTCTTTATCTGTAGGTGTGGCCTTGAACATGAACCTTTACCCACGCTGCTGTATGAGAGGGCAATACGTACTTTTTGTTGTAGGTGACCTCGTTGAAGATCGTGCAGGCAGTGTCATTTGGAATTTTCGAGAATAGTGGACCACCTCAAGCATCCTGGAACACATGTCATCTTCTGTTAGGGTTGAAAAAGCGATACAATGGCATCGCTGTTGTGACGGTCCTTCCTGCCGACCCTCCAGCTCCGACGCATGGATTGTAGTCCTCAAGTTTCGCCTAGCATAATCCAAACAGAGACCTCCTGGATTGCTACCTGATGTTACCGAAACAGGTGCGAGCTCTCCAAGAAACAGCGCGCTCGAGACAAGTCGCACGTGTGCAATGTCTGGGTCGGCACAGCGGGGCCATGTCTGGCCTCCTTCCTAGGTTTCGGATCGCCAGAGCAGCGGGTCACCTTCACGTCGACTGATGAGGTACCCTTGAGCCGACAATATTGCGGGCGCAGCCGCAGACGCATTCGGATGTGTTGAACTTCACTGCGTGAGTCATCCTACGATTTCAAGTCAACCACTGCCAGGCTCGTGCTGCACCGGACGG